ACAGGAGGAAACCTATAAACTAAACTAACTTTACTTACACTGCTTGGATAGCTCTATCAGTTCTAAACTGTTCTTCCTAGAACTCCAGTAAGGATCATCTCTTATTCATCCAGTGTTACCACAGGAGGAAACCTATAAACTAAACTAACTTTACTTACACTGCTTGGATAGCTCTATCAGTTCTAAACTGTTCTTCCTAGAACTCCAGTAAGGATCATCTCTTATTCATCCAGTGTTACCACAGGAGGAAACCTATAAACTAAACTAACTTTACTTACACTGCTTGGATAGCTCTATCAGTTCTAAACTGTTCTTCCTAGAACTCCAGTAAGGATCATCTCTTATTCATCCAGTGTTACCACAGGAGGAAACCTATAAACTAAACTAACTTTACTTACACTGCTTGGATAGCTCTATCAGTTCTAAACTGTTCTTCCTAGAACTCCAGTAAGGATCATCTCTTATTCATCCAGTGTTACCACAGGAGGAAACCTATAAACTAAACTAACTTTACTTACACTGCTTGGATAGCTCTATCAGTTCTAAACTGTTCTTCCTAGAACTCCAGTAAGGATCATCTCTTATTCATCCAGTGTTACCACAGGAGGAAACCTATAAACTAAACTAACTTTACTTACACTGCTTGGATAGCTCTATCAGTTCTAAACTGTTCTTCCTAGAACTCCAGTAAGGATCATCTCTTATTCATCCAGTGTTACCACAGGAGGAAACCTATACACTAAACTAACTTTATTTATGCTGGATAGCTCTATCAGTTCTAAACTGTTCTGCCTAGAGATCCATTAAGGATCATCTCTTATTGAGCCAGTGTTACTACAGCAGGAAACCTAAACTGAACTAACTTTATTTATACTGGATAGCCCTATCAGTTCTGAACTGTTTTGAAGTCCAGGAATTGGATATAGCTACATCCAATTCCAATTATTAGCCATATCCAATTCCTGTAGTCGTAGCTATTGGATATAGCTCTATCAGCACGAAACTGTTCACCCTAGAGATCTTGTAAGAGTCATCCCAACAGAACCCAGAAAAACCTGTGTTCTTCCATGCGAATGAGATTGAAAGCATAATCAGACAACTGCATAGTTGGTTGAATCACAGCAGTTACCTTGGTCTGTATCATTCCAGGCCGCTGTTCTCGCAGATTGTGAACTATGTCGTAAATATCAAACTGAAATAGAACACCAAGTATTAAAATATTTCCTCCCTCAACCTCACGACACTGCTTATTGTGAAACTCGCTTATTAATAATGTTCACCTAAATCCCAGTGAACCAAGGATGGGAGTACATGAGAGTTGAAGACAGTTGATGAGAATAGCTAGGATGAGAGTTCATGAAAGTGGATGAGAGTTGATATTGATGAGAATAGCTAGGATGAGAATTGATGAGAATAGCTAGGATGAGAGTTGATGAAAGTGGATGAGAGTTGATATTGATGAGAATAGCTAGGATGAGAGTTGATGAAAGTGGATGAGAGTTGATATTGATGAGAATAGCTAGGATGAGAGTTGATGAGAATAGCTAGAATGAGAGTTGATGAAAGTGGATGAGAGTTGATATTGATGAGAATAGCTGGATGAGAGTTGAAAGTGGATGCGAGTTGATATTAATGAGAATAGCTAGGATGAGAGTTGATGAAAGTGGATGAGAGTTGATGAAAGTGGATGAGAGTTGATATTGATGAGAATAGCTAGGATGAGAGTTGATGAAAGTTGATAAGAGTTGATGAGAGTAGCTAGGATGAGAGTTGATGAAAGTGGATGAGAGTTGATAACCATCATGCAACTCTTGTTCTCGTTTGACCGGCGCGTGAGACTTGAGAAAACTCTCATTTATTTTTATTTATTTGGCTTTGCCAACTAGGGCAGGGTCACCACAACAGCATATGCCAATTACTGTGGGCCCTTTTACCTAACCCACCCTGACAACTTTCCCTGTGGGAGGAAACCGGAGTACCCAGACAAAACCTACGACTTTCGGCAGAACGTTGACCTGTTTAGTCTTTTCACATGAGGACTGGGTTCAGAAGGTTCGTACTGAGAAGGTTCTCACTGAGATTTGAACCTGCGAGCTTACAGGTGAAAGGCAAGTGCGCTAACCACTTCGCCACCAAAGCCTCTCATCCTCGTTTGAGCAAGCCTTAAAGGGGCAGTGTCACGGCGCTGATTGCCTAAAATAAACGGCGCAGAGAAGCGTTTAAAATTAATGCTACATGATTGGAAAAGATGCAGCAGCCTTCAATTTTTAAAACAAAGCAAGGATGTCCTGCATAACGAAGGGATTATAAATAGTATATCGTATATCACTCCTAACTTGATTAATTGTTGGCAGACAGTTTTTCAAGTTCGCTCATATTTTGATTTTTGGATGCGCAGTAGAATCCTGACACTGCCCCTTTAATACCTCGTAGAACGGCCATCTAGATGGAAATTTCAATTGTAAATTCACAGTCAAAAATTCCAGTATAGATGCCCAAAATCCTATAATATTTACCTCTATTCCTCTCTCGATATATTTCATACATGTATCGATAGTCAGTAATGTACCAGTTCTGCCAATACCAGCACTACAACGAAAGATGGCACGTATACAAAGTTACTCCACAACTACACCTACATCAAGGACGGATTTTCATTTATTTAAAAGGAGGGGTAGAACAATTTCTGGTGGGGTGCAAGCGGCATCACTCAGTGAGCCTCGGAAGCAGGGGTTAGGCGTTTGGATTAAAACCTTTCACACAAAATAGGAGGGGTTATGCGAAATAAATTTTGGTGGGGTTGAACACTTTATTAGAGGAGTTAGAGAGATTCTAGGGGATTAACCCTCCTAATCCCCAGTAAATCCGGCCCTGATCTACATTCAAAGCGAGTCAAATACAAAGATTTGAAAAGTACCTGCAATGAACGAGCGAAGGTCCAACGCTTAAGTTAGCACGGAAGCTTTTGATAAACTCCACTAATTCACAAGCAGACTAAAAGAAAAGTTGAATGAAGATATATGAAGTCTATACCAAGGATCTATACTGCATTTCCATAACCACAAAATACTATTCAGTTCTTGTGGTCACGTGGGATTATTACGTCACGCTAAGCTCACCTTGGGTACTCCATGATCAGGCCAGGCAAGGAAGTTCAAATGCACAATGTTTAATGACTGCTCCTCCTGAGTAAAGCAAAGAAAAGACTAGTATCTTCGTACATCAATAACATAAAAGAGTATTGTATATTATTATAATTTTCAAAAACTCATTAATAATTCATGAAGTAATTATCCAATCTTGAGTAAGAAATTAGTCACGTGCATAGTCTTTATACCAGCTACAGAAAACTTTAACAAAAGACCATTGTTATGCAAACTATATAAAGGTTTTTATATAAAGATTTTTATATAAAGATTTTTATATAAAGATTTGACTTATTCTGCAAAGTTTTTGAAGCCATTTAAAAAACTCGCAGGTCGTGTTTTATTTGGTCTAAAGCCACGAGCGCGCACCTAATAAAACACTCCTGCTCGTTTTTTAAATAGTACATAACGTAATATATAGCATTCAAGGTTTTGTAAAAAGGTCCAATTATTAACGTACTTGAATGTTTTCTATCCGTATAATTCTTTGAACGTAGTTGTTATAAGTTTCCACAGATTCTAAGTGTACTTCAAGACTGCAAAGGAAGATTTAAAGAAAATTCCATCAAGAATATAAGCGAAACTTACATCACGGAGCAGATGGTGGACAACCAGCACTTGTCACAGTGAGAAAATAATGTCAATAGACACTTGCTTACTACTACATATTTACAATGGATTACATTGTCCGCCTCGATTCAAGCTATTAGGGAGCTTAAACAGACAAAGTTTCAGGCCAACATGGACGTCAGATTCGGAAGGGAGACTGGATTAAAAAGTGTGTTTGTGTCAGTTTGCGATAGTCTTCAATACATCTAACAAAATTTAAGATTTTTAAAGTGTTTTGCTTCCTTACAGTTATAGCATTTTTTGGTTGTCCTTGTTGACAAAAACGTTGTTTGTTCAAGCTCAATATTGTTTTCTTGGGCACTCAAGCAATTCGGGAAGAGTCCATTGTTTTCATTACACGTCGTTCGCCCATATTCTAAAAGCTCACTCACACTTACACTCAATGAGTGGAGGTTCAATCTGAGCTTCTCTTGAGTGTCAATGCTGTTTTTGAATAGCTGGAGGGTAAGTAGTCACCGAGTAAGGTATGACACTAGCCTTCAGCTATTCAAAAACAGCATTGACACTCAAGAGAAGCTAAGATTGAACCTCCACTCATTGAGTGTGAGTGTGCTTTTAGAACACGGGTGGTTGTGTTGTAATTGAAGGCAAATAAAAAAAATTGAGATTGAATCCAGCTCCATAAAGTTCATTAACTAACCCCTTAACGCTAGCATGACGTCATACCTCTGATTGACTTTCACCGGAAGTTCAGGCGATTCCGGCCAATACCGATGACATTTCACTTTCCCACATTCCATGTCTAGTGTTACCATGGCAACAACTTGACATTTCTGTTCCCACACCATCCGCCAAAAGTCGCTGGTTGTTATGGGTAACGGACCCTGTGTCGCTATATAATGAGACGTGTCCGAGCCGACAGTGACGTCAACATAGTTGGCGTTGATGTAGTCCATCTGTTCATCACCAGAAAGTATCACTCGCGTCTTTTCATCTGTGAAAACACAATGATCAAATCAATGATGGACGTTCTTAAGACGAGTCCGCACCACTGACCTATATATGTGTGTGTATATATATATATATATATATATATATATATATATATATATATATATATATATATATATATATATATATATATATATATATATATATATATATATATATATATATATATCTCTTCTATATATATCTGGAGCAAGAACTTCAGTCATTCGGCCTATGAGAAAAGGGACCTTAAGCATCTACGACGGCAAAACAAACTTCTTCAAACGGCAAAACAAACTTCTTCAAATAAATTATTGCGAAGAAGTGTTGTTATGTATTATCCACTGCATGTATATATGAATTGAGTTCAATTTGAAGAGATTAAAACAAAGGCTTTGTGGTTGAAAACGCTTCTGCCGAGCAAATTTATAGTTTCACTTGTCGCATCTTGACATGTTTGCGTTGTACACGAGACGTGAAAATCTCTGGTTCGTCGTTGTAAAAAGCCCTAACAACAACGTCTCTAACTCCCGTGGGGCTTTTAATTTTCATTTCTTTTGTACGAGATCAGGAATATCATTGTGTGAATAGCCGTCGTCGTCCTGTTTGCTTAAGGTGCCTAAAAGTGAAGCCAAGACGGCAGCCGTTGACATCTAATAGCTCTGAAGATCGTAAACAGTTTTAATAACATTTTTTCCAGCGAAATCTAGTTTTTCTAACGAATTGTATCGCTAAACAAGTTATCAATTCATAAAACCATAGTGTTATTCTTTAAATTGATGTCAAAATACCAAATTTCGAAACACTCCTTGCCAGCCGCGCAAACAAAAACAACATAGAAAGGGACTGGAACTGACGTCAATTTCCTTCAATTTCCGCCATCTTGGATTCACTTTTTGGACCCGAGTTTTCACTCCAGATATATATGGAGCTCACTGGATACAAGTCGCATGTGAAACAACTTACACGGCAAGACGTTCCTGTAACGATTCTTTTCTTTGTTCAAAGCTCTTTTACCACTGGGACAGTTGTCCACAGGTGTCATTTCACGCAATGCCTGCAAAATACACAAGACAGTTTCATACATATATTCTCTTTCCTTCCTTCTCTGTGAAGTATTGACAAGTTAATCTGAAGGGACTCTGGCTCGCGAGGATATCTCCATCAAGGTAGACGACTGCAATAACCAACAGTTTGATAATTTACCTGAAACTCGCCTGTAGCTTTCCCAGACGAAATAGCATTCTGTAATTTCTCAATAATATTTTGTAAACGTTGCCCAGAGTAAAAAGAACTCGTCCCCAGGATCTCCAGCAACGGTCCAGACAGCTCAACAGACTTCGACCTATAGCAATGACAAACAAAATTTTAATTATATCTTCGCTATCCATTATTTAGTTTAG